TATTATAAAAAAATCTTCCGGAACGCTCGGTTTCATTATACGCAATGCAAAGATTTTCAAGACCGTTAAGACCAAGATGATTCTTTATAATAGTTTCGTGCGTAGCATTACGGAATACTGCAGTGTTGTTTGGAGGCCCCATTTCGCAACACATACGTTACGGTTGGAAAGGGTTCAGAAAAGGTTTCTGACACGTAGCTTTCTCTGTAGGTGAAGCTCGGTCGCTTAAATCGTACAAAAGTAGGCTTCTCGTTTTTAAGTTACTGCCGCTTGAAGCAAGAAGTGACACTTCTGATTTAATGTTCGTATACAAGCTTTTCTATAATAAGATACACTGTTCTCCTTTGCTAAGTTCCTTATCCTTCAGAATACTTTCTGGGCTTCCGAGAAAGCCTGTTCGGCCTATGAACATACCAATGCGTAGGACTAAACTTGTTCATTTCTCTCCTGTTCTTAGATGGAGTAAACTTTACAATGAATGCAGCTAGCTCATCGGTAAATCTTAATTTAGTTTCTTTAAAACATTTTCGTAAGCAGATCATGGACTTTATAACAAAAAATATTTTCCGTATTTTGTTAAAAAATAACAAAAAAGGTTTTATGATTTTTCTTTTACATATAAATAACTTATTGTTATTAAACGCATGATGTGTTCCCCTATAAGTAGTTATGCACTTAATTTAAATTATGTTGGAACTTGTATTTTTTTATGGAAAACCTAATAAATAAATAAATAACTTATAAAAACAGCAGTTTAATTAAATAGCACAACATATCTCGAATCATTAGAAAACTGTTTGAACCATTATAAAAAAGTTTGATTGGACAAAACTATAGCCCCTAACAAATATTTTTTAATCTGAAATATTTCCACTTCATTCTCTCTTATATGAAATGATTTCCCTGCGCGTCCAAACGTTTTCTCTCCGTCATTCTATTGTAATTCTTGCAAGATGTGAAATAAAACGAAGACGGGATTGGGAACATTATCTGACTGGGTCGGGAACTGGGAAGGCTTTCAGACCACTACTCTAGAGAATTCAACTACATAATTCGCCAAGTTTGAGTGACGTTTTATTCTATTACGTCAAATTAATATAAATAAATTAATTTTTTTAATTCATTGTAGCACATCAAAAGTTCACTAATAAACATAGCCTTTAGCTCCTATAATATATATATATATATATATATATATATATATATATATATATATATATATATAAATTGCCTCGTATAATATATAAATTCGGCAAATGACTTGTTCAAGTTGTTCAAATTATCTTTAGTTCGTGCTACTTTTATTTGGTAAAGTTAAATTCAGCGCGTAGAGACAAAAGGCTTGAAATTTATAGGCATAGATGTACTTGATCAAAAAAATCGGAGCCGTTGTTTGAGAACATTTTTTGTTTTATTTTTATTGTTTTATTGTAGTTAATAATTAGGGTCAAGTAATATACACATTTGTAACTAATGTCTTTAATCAACCAACCGATTTTATCTATTTCGTACACCAAATAAGACATAATATGTCACGACAAATGTAACGCATAAAAGCAACACCATATATATATATATATATATATATATATATATATATATATATATATATACATATTTAAAATGTAACACCACATAATATATATATTTAAAATGTTACCCTAAAAGTATCCACCCGTTTACATCAATTTATAAATAATACTCTCCACAGCTTTTGAGAGTTAAGATTCGACAATATACCAAGGTAATTTATCTTGTGTTTTTGCACGTTGTTTCGACGTTAAAAGCAGGAGAGCTTGCTGTGAAAACTCCACGCTGCCACCGCCGTGTCTTGGAAACCACCTGAATAACAAAACAATTTTGAACTAGCTTTGTTAAATAACTTATCAATGCATAGCTCTAGTACTTGCGCTTAAAAATATAATGGTTATAATATAAAAAGTTTGGTTTCTCAGTTTTATTTTAATTGATACTGTATTTTGATATTGATAAGATCGCAAGGTACGGAGATTGTTGAGTCAAAATGTGTTGTCAAGCTAAACTAAATAATTTTGTAATGTTTAAAATAAGAATATCATACTTTTTTATCTACTATCACAGAAGAAGTTAATCAAAAGGCCAGTATGTCTAATCTTGTCGAAGAAATGTACATGTGTAGTAAAATTCCTAAAAACTATTTTTTGTTCACAATAGTACCGATGTCGTTCTGTCCCCTGTCTATCGTTTCTACAATAATAGAGATCTCGTATACTTTGAAAGTTAAGATAATACTTTCAAACTTTATTCGCAACACAAAAATGCTTTTATCGAATACATAGTTATGTATCTTCTAACATAGTATCATTAAAATATGCCTGCAGAGTTTTTAACCCAAGTAGAGTATTAAATATGGCAAAAATGCTATTATCTCAATCTTCACTAGGGTTCTCAAGTTCACTACAGGATTATACTGAAAAACTTTTAATGGCATTCCAGGCATGATATTTCATCTCGTAGGTAAATAGCTGAAAATCAGTGTTTGCTCCCTGAGCAATATAAATCGCTTAGGTAGGACCTATTTGTTAAACTACAGCATACATGTACATTTAGATCTTAAGATTTTGTAACTTATTTTCTTTTGAATAAAACTATTATTTACGGATTTTTTCGCGTTTAATTACTTTAATTTATTTTTATTATTATCCCGACGTTTCGGGTGCTTTACAGCGCCCATGGTCACGGAGGGGACTGAGATGTTTGACGTCCCAATGTCATAGTTAGTCCGGCTACCTTCAGTTTTTTAATATTAATTTTTGGTCCGATTTAAAGTCTGCAGTCTGCGAACATGTTCAAGATCGTCCCCACCATTACATTAGGTTTGATAAACCACAAATTCTCGCAAAAGAACACCGATTCCTACCAAGGATGATACGCGAGGCTATTGAAATTAAAAAACATCCAAATTTCAATAGAGAAGATGGTTGGGTGCTACCATCTGCTTGGGATCCTATAATTAACAAAATTAAACCCAAACCCAGGCATACCACTGCAAGACTTCATGATACTATAAGCTCGTTTTGCGTAAATCGGACCAAAAATTAATATTAAAAAACTGAAGGTAGCCGGACTAACTATGACATTGGGACGTCAAACATCTCAGTCTCCTCCGTGACCATGGGCGCTGTAAAGCACCCGAAACGTCGGGATAATAATAAAAATAAATTAAAGTAATTAAACGCGAAAAAATCCGTAAATAATAGTTTTATTCAATGTGTAGTGTTCGCGTAAATTTAAGAAATCATTATTTTCTTTTACGCTACTTTGTAACCAGTTTAGTCACTGAATTTACGTGTGTGGTTGGGGGAACAAATAAATGCTTTATCTATCTACTCATCCCGTAACACATGCATGTATAGACTTCTTGCATAACTCACCAGATCTTCATTCATTTCTTTACCAATTTTATACTATCCACATGAAGACGAAGAAGCTTATTCACTTTTGCCTCGAAGGCAACACCCCATTTCTTAAACAGATGCAAAGACAGACGCTATTAAATTATTCCACTCGTTTGATGAACGCTTTAAGTGTTTACACCGGTAATGGTGTAAAAAGGTTGGCACTCAATGTTTGCGATTCTCCGAGCTATGCGACCTTAATCAAGGCTATGAAATGATTTCATTACATACATTTTATAGTGGTAGTTATATTGATTGTAAATTTCTGTAACGTTTACCAATATGTTATTGTGTCTGTTGAACTATTTCTCAGTTGAAAGGCTCAATTTTATATAACATAACATCTACTTTGGAAAAAATGTCCGGGTATAGTTCTATAAGGAATGTATTACAAGTAGCTGCAAGTCACTAAATTGACTACTATTCGTTTTAAATCCCTATTACTTCAGTTGTTTGCCTTGTTGGTCTAGTGATCTTGATCGCGACTGCTGAACATGGTTCCCGGATTCGAATCCCAGGTCTGGACAGTGATCAGTTAATTGGATTTTAGTAGCGGACAGAAGTGCGGAAATTGGCGATATTTCACCCCGTACCTTCGAAAGGACGTAAAAACGTTAATTTGTCGCCCAATCTCCCTCCGGTCATGTCAAATTTCCGTACCTTTGGACTATGAAAGTAAGGGAATAAACAGTCCACATGTAATTACGCGCGTACACACATTTGTACTACAATCCTGCACTGCACAAACGGCTAGTCTCCGTTGAGACCGCCCAACGTCAGAGAAATTCTTTATGGAGAACATTGTCTCTATTAAATCTATACATGGGGACAAAATAATGGCTCATTTAACACTAGTAAGCAAAGCTATTGATAAATAATATTATTGTCCTTTAAAATAGTCCGCTACGCTTTTCCAGTAGGTGTTATTAGATATTATATAGCTTCAAAATTATTATTTTTTTCAAACTTCAGGATTCCTCACTATGCACATGATTAATCAATATTTAAAATTGCAATTAACAATTCATCAAGCCTGGGTTTGTGGGATACAAAACCAGGTTGCTCGCGTACTGTAAAGTTACGGAGAGCGCTTAGCTCTTATTCTAACGGCTCAATATTCTAGCATAAAAACACAGTATGCTATTATCACAGTACAATAGCACACATAACATACATAATAATCCTGCCTCGTTGGACTGGTTATAGTAAACGTGATTGCTGTTCGAATCCCGGGTTGGGCCAACATCAGTTATTGGGTTTTCAGTCAAGAAATTTTCCGTAGCAGCCAAGAGTCAGAAAGTTGGCGGTGTTTTACTGCTGTGCTGCGGAAAGAACTTAAATTCGTTGATCCTGAGACAGATTTCTCTTCTATTGTCTCGCATTGCCATACCATCTGACTTCGAGAATGAGAGGCTAAAGGTTGCGCACGCACGAACGTCTGACTATAATCCTGTCCTGCGTAAATTGCTATTTACCTAGCTTCTGTAACTGAAATTCGGTCTGGAGAACATATTTTTGATTTCGTTTACTCTTAATAACATGGTTTTTGTCTTTACAGGCACGATGTGGCGTATAGCGCCACTAGTGATGCGACTGTTAGTCGTATCACTGGTGGCGCTCGTCTTTGCCGAGCCCGGCACTGGCGGCGGCACCACAGTAATGGTTCGGATGCCCGGCCGCAAAATGAATTTGCCGATACGGCCTACAGCACCGATGCCAAGAAATAAGGAGCGCCGCCAACGTAATCGACGACGCACCACCACTACCACCACTACAACGACGACTACCGTAGAGCCTGATGACGAAGACGAGTATGAACCTACCACATCCTTACCAACTACCACTATAGACCCACGCACATACGATCATAGTAAGTGGTTCTTTTTTATTATTATAATAAGAACTTCTTTAAAAATGTATCAGTTTAAAATTAAAATTCCAGGTGACAGCACCATTTGATAGTATTTTTATAGAATAAAGTCGACAAAAATATAAAAGCCCACCTGATAGAATCAGGCGTTACTTTGCGTAAATCCATTATAATAAAAATATTAAATATTTTGCAACCTTCCGCTAACTAAATACAATGATGTGTCTCACCTGGATTGAAGAGCACCTCCCGCCCTCCCTCAATTGCGTGCACTAACTCCGTCACCACTAGTCCCAGCACCACTACTCCCGGCACCACTACTTCCAACACCACTATTCTTAGCGCTAGCGGTCAGCCGTCGTAGAGTATACATCACCTGAGGATGCCTCGTGTAGAGGCGAAACACGTGTCGTATTATCGTCGATGGTGTGTCTTACCTGGAATAGTGGTGTTGGAGTAGTGATATCGGGATTAGTGGTGTTGGGAGTAGTGGTACTGGGACCAGTGGTGACGGAGTTAGTGGACGCAATTGAGGGATGGCGGAAGGTGCTCTTCAATTCAGGTAAGACACATCATTGTATTTAGTTAGCGGAAGGTTGCAAAATAATTAATAATTTTATTAAAAACCCACTTGCTGATAATTAGTTGCTGTGGACCATAGACATATACATCCATCTTTGATTAGTTAATAGATCCCTGAAGACTAAAGTGATTTCAGCTCCCTGATCTTTTTTACTGGATCCGAAGATCCATTTTAGTGCAAACAAGATTTTCATCTCGGGCCTGATCTCCGGACCTATACACTTACTATACGCAACACAGCAGCGTTACGCTGCTTTTTTACGTTGGTATTAAGGGAGAGCGTGGTCCTCGGTCCCCGGTAGCCGATTCATGGTACAACCATAATTCAGGTTCAGTCCATGCATTGGCGGTGTAAAAATATCCACTACCCCATATTAACTAATAAAGTACGTAATAACGACTGAAAATAAAAAAATGTGTTTGCCAAGCCGCCTGTCAAGAGTGGCAATTATGGCAACATATCCTCCGTATGAGGCAATCTATGTGAGAGATGTTTGTTGTATAGTGGACTTTGATAGGATATAACGGTATGGCTCTACCGCGTACACATATATAGCTCAATATTAGCCTCGTAGCGAAAATGTATAATCCCCAGTACCAGCTCCTTCCACTTGACCGCATCCAGCGCAGAGCGGCTCGAATCGTCGACGACCGGGTGCTTTCCGATCGGCTCGATTCACTGGCGCTGCGAAGAGATGTTGCATCTCTTTGCATTTTATTTCGCATATACCATGGGGAGTGCTCTGAGGAATTGTTCCCAGCCACCAATTTTTGTGAACGCACTACGCGGCAAACGTCCCGACACCATCCACACCATCTGGATGCTTGGCGGTCCACCACTGTACGTTTCAAAAGGAGTTTTCTTCCGCGTACGACCTCTCTGTAGAATAGTTTACCACCGGTGACTTTTCCGGACCGATACGACCTGGGGACCTTCAAGAAAAGAGCTTACTCCTTTCTAAAGGACCGGCAACGCACCTGCAATTCCCCTGGTGTTGCGGTTGATCATGGGCGGCGGTATTCACTTAATATCAGGTGAGCCACATGCTCGTTTGTCCCCTCTTTCAAAAAAAATGCTTCTACGCTGCCTTCTTCAACAACTTCGAACCGAGACCTAATTGCTAAGCGACAGAAACAGATTAGAGGATTGATAATAGAGTATTGAACCCAAAATATTATTTTTACACTTTGAAACCTAACCGCAATCCTTATGATATTCAGTTATAATTAGCAAGAATATACTTTGTATATATGAAAAAAATTTTCGCTAAACTATTTATGATATTCAGTTATAATTAGCAAGAATATACTTTGTATATATGAAAAAAATCTTCGCTAAACTATTTATATTGCTGTTTATTTATTCTTCTACCAAAATAGTACATTATACAAATCCTATGTAAAATATATTCCTTTTCTAATTCGTATTACAAAGCAAGCTAATAGAGTTCAGCTCATACCGAGACGAGACGCGAAGCGACTTGGCGAGCATTTTATAAGGTAGTAATACAAAATATAACTTCATTTACTGCACAAAAAGATACACATTTTATTGAGCTAACTGGGATGCGACGTGTTACGCCTCGAGATACCTCGTATCGCGGCTCATCTGGACGTAGCGATGCTTCGTCGGAAAGCGCAGCGTGTAAAAGCGGTGCGCTGCCAGCGACATCAGGATCATTCGCCTTTGCGGCGACGAGCTGCGCGACGCTTTTTTTGCGCCCGAAGCAAATAAAGGCTACCCTCCGGTAAACGGGGGAGGGAGGTGGTGAATGCTCATAGCATACCCCGCAGACGGCTTCGTGGTTATGTGGAGACATTTACCCACTCAACACCACCTTTTAAAATTAGGTTAATGATCTGGCGAGAGATCTAAGCCGTATAGAACGCGACCTACCTGGAAAGAAAGTGGAGCACCGCCTGCACGGTGCAAAACCACCTCTTTTTTATGGCCTCGTCAAGCATTCTCATTGCGTCGCGCCTCTGTGCGAACTGACCCTAAGGCAGCAAAAAATCCGTTCTTGGGCCAGACCGTCTCAGACATTAATTATAGCGCGATAATTAAACGCTCGTTAACTCTTACCTGTCCGACTCATTTACTGATTAGACTCAACACAGCTTTTTCTCCCGCGAACAATCTAATTAGTCAGTTATACACTGAGTGTTAATGAAAATCACACGCTTTTGTCGTCAATTTTGTCACTACATTGAACAATGTTATTTTTATACGTAGTATTGTCAATATAAATAATAATCAAACTTATCATTATACATTTATTCACATTTAGAAGCTAAAGCGCTTAACTACAAATAGCTTACTGCTTTTTACTATACTGTTTTCATTATTTTCACAATCAAATCGACGAGCCGGCTTTAATTCATTTAACACTGAAATAAACTGCTCGTAGGAACTGCACTTTTAAATCTGATTTTTAAATAGGCACTGTATTTAACGGCTGATTTAAATATTTAAAAAATATATTGTTTGTTATTTTTAATAGAGTATAAACTTTGTTGATTAATGAAGGTGTAACTTTAATATAATTGATTAAATCCAGCGATCATGTAGTTCAGAAGTTACACGGTCACTAACAGACGTACTAAAGTTTATTACATATACTGACGTTCTGGTCCGGTTTTGCTCGGGTGATTTCTACATCTCGACCACAGCGCCACCTACGGGTTCTACTATATCTAAGACCCATTCTAGTGACCTCATAAGTATTCCATTACAAAAACATCAAAACAGCAGAAAAATAACGAACACACACACACCGGAATTTTATATATGAAGATAAAAAAAATAATGCCAGGATAAGTTCATGTGTTTGTATTTTTTATATTTTCGAAAATCAAGTACCAATGTATTATTTTTGCACCACAAAACAAAACTGTCCAGAATCTTCTGTATGTTTTGACCGCTGACTATTTATTCCACAACCTCATAATGTTAAAAAAACATTAAAAATAAATGCGGGTCTTGTGATACGCTTGATATCATTTTACTGGAAGGCTTGAAGTCACTCAATACTCTGAAAAATATTTGGAATAGAGTAAAAGTATTGGCTTTGTTCTAACGTTTTATTATTTTGTTATCTTGGTTATGAAAGGTGGAGATGGTTGGCGAATCTAAATATATCTAAATATATAATACTGAATTATTCCTGGATCCAACCCGGGCACTCTCGAGTGTAAAAGTAAATCCATAGGCACCTATATATACATCATCATCATCATCATCATTACAGCCCTTCATAAGTCCACTGCTGAACATAGGCCTCCCCCAAGCAATACCACAAAGCACGGTCCTGAGCCACCTGCATCCATCGACTTTCTGCATGTCTTACCAGGTCGTCACTCCATCTAGTGGGGGGTCGCCCTACACTACACCTACCGGTACGAGGCTGCCACTCGAGAACCTTTCTTCCCCATCGGTTATCGGTTCTTCGAGCTATATGGCCTTCAGCTTACTAATCCGTTGGGCTATCTCGGTCACTCTGGTTTTACTGCGGATATCTTCATTTCTGAGTCTATCACGCAGAGAAACTCCGAGCATAGCCCTCTCCATAGCTCGCTGAGCGACCTTGAGCGTCCTCATACGGCTAGCAGTGAAGGACCACGTCTCTGATCCGTAAGTCATCACTGGCAACACGCACTGGTTGTACACTTTAGTTTTCAGAGATTGAGGTATACCTGACGAGAAGATGTGTCGTAATTTCCCGAACGCTGCCCAGCCGAGTTGAATCCGTCGATTGACCTCTCGGTCGAAGTTAGACTTACCTAGTCGGACTATTTGTCCCAGGTAAACGTCGAGTACGTTCAACAACAACTTCGAGCATAGTGCTCCCAAAAACTACCGGTATAGGTGTGACATGGACATTAAACATGATCTTTTTTTGTCCATGTTCATCTTAAGACCTATCCGTTGGGAGATACCATTGAGGTCATTGAGCATAGTGCTAAGGTCCTCCAGGGATTCTGCCATAAGGACTATATCATCGGCAAATCGAAGGTGAGTGATGTACTCGCCATTGATGTTAATACCGTATCCTTTCCAGTCCAGTAGCTTGAAAACGTCTTCCAACGCAGCGGTGAAGAGTTTCGGGGATATAACGTCACCCTGTCTTACACCTCTCTGCAGTGAGGATTCGAACTCTGGTTCTGTACTCGGATAGCCATCGTAGCCCTACTGTACAAACACTTCAGCACTTCGATATACCGACAGTCAACTTGACACCGCTGAAGGGACTGTAGCACCGCCCAAATTTCGACGGAATCAAAGGCTTTCTCATAGTCCACATACGCCAGGCAAAGTGGCAGATTGTACTCTTCGGTCTTTTGTACAATCTGCCGCAGGGTATGTATGTGGTCTATGGTACTGAAGCCTTTTCGGAAACCGGCTTGTTCGGGAGGCTGGA